AGCAGCCACCCCCTCCCCTTACGACCCCACCCCACCCCCCACGGAAACCAGTTGTGACCTTCTGTCCCACACGAGGGTACAGAAAGTCCGCGGAGACTATGCTGCTGCTGGAGATGTTTACATCTGCTCTCTAAACCTGCCTTGGGTTAGTGTTGGATAGTTTCAAATTCTGCTAATGGAGGAAAGACATCAAATTCTAAATGCTAAAGTAGAATTTAAATCAAATTCTAAAAACATTATCCTACCCCGCCCCTTTTATCCACTTAAGATTATGCCAGACTGCTGCAAAATATTCCTAATTTTCTATAGGTTTCTGTTTTTTGGTGGTATTTAGAAAAGAAACTATTGACGTTGCTGGGAAAGCTCCTTTGGGTAAGGGGTTGTAAGAAGGAGAAATAGGAACTGGATTTCAGAGCCCCGTGGGTGTGGAGTGGGAGCCCTCTTGGCGTGGTGATGGATGGTGGGGGGCTGGTAGCTGCCTACCCTGTAGTCCGGAGGTCGAGTGAGTGATGTAGGGCAAAAGCTTTGAAAGTGGGGAGCAGTAAACAGATGTGTTTGTTAATTTTGTGGGAATTGTTGCCCATGCAAACGGCAGTCTGGTTTTTGATTGTGACTTTGACATTGCAAAGTGCTGAATAGGAAAATGTCTCCCCACTTCCTCCCCAGTGACCGACTTAATGAACTGTGGCACATCTTGGTCATTAGTGTCTTTGGAGTGACATCTACAGCCAGGGCAATGTCTGTTGAGCGCAGTACTCATACTTTAACATGGAGTGTGTGTGAGTTCTTCTGCTGAAACTATGATTTCCCCTTTGAGAAGCTAGGGGCACCTTGACTCCCACAATGTTGAAGGTCACAGTGCCTTTCAGCAAGACCATCGAAGCCTGTAGCGAGGGTGCAGAGTTGGAACTGAGGTCAGGTCTGAGACCCGGCCAAGGGCAACGGTGCCAGGAGAGGTGGGAAGGCAGCACTGGTTAGAGGGTGGAGAGGACTGGAGAAAAACTTCCTGCTTTGTCATTTTACCAGTTGCCAACACCGAGCTACTGAAAATTCACCTGTGGCCTGCATTTTCTTCCACTCCTCTGGGGTGAGTGGTGGCTAAGGGAGGACTTGTTTCAGTGCATTCAACAGATATTTCTCCTCTCCCTGCCCCATGAAGTCAGGTCAGCCAGTGAATCTGCAGAGCCTCATGCTGGTGCTGGGGGGCAAAGAGGCTTGAAGTGTAAGATGTGGTTCCTGTCCTTGCAGGCCTTACGGCCTTACAGCCTAACAGGATACAAGGAGAGACAGACTTCCTAGATACAATCCAATCTTGACCCACCAAGATGGCAGTGAAGGCTTCCAGGGAAGGAAACAGCAGCATCATGCCCAGTAGCTCCACGAGGCAGCCACCTTGTCTGTCTGATTCACTGCTTCATCCCCAGCCAGTGGTGCACGGGAGCCAGCCCTGCACCTGCTCCCTAGAGCAGATGATGTGCACTTCCCCCCAGCCTCACATTCAGTAATAGCATGTTGGTAGCTTGAAATCGGTAACAGAATAATTACACCACAGAAATAGGCAAGTGCTACAAATCAGGGCTTTTGCTTTTCCAAGAGCTGGCTTACCAGAACACCACTAACACCGCTTGGTGTGTGCTAGGTGTTCCGTAAAGTTTTGTTGAGAGAAAGAAATATGGTAGATAGAGCTCATCTTCAACCTGGGGTCTCTTTAGTCCTGCCCCTCCTAGTTCCTGGCCTGTCTCCTTGTGCCAGAAACCATCTTCTTTCAATACTCATCTTCTTTCAATATTCGAGAGCTTTCTCCAGCATGTCCACACTCCTTGAATTCTCAGAAAGGCCATCAAAGGAAGGTGTTGCCTCTAGTCGATCAGCCACCCTCCTAGGAGAGACTTCACTCCCACCCGCAGGAGTGGCCTTAATGAGGCAAACATCTCAGAGAATAGTACAATAATCCCAATGTTGCTCTGGAGAGAGACACAACACCAGGAGGGAGAGGAGGTGAGTTTCTATTGCTTATAGGGGAATAAAGCCTTGTCTCTGGTCTAAGGCAGAATGCAGGGAGTGGCGTAGGAATAATGGGTGCAGTTTGGTAGAACAGAGCTTGGATGGTAGCCATAAGCACTCTGTAGGAGATAAACTGCAAGGGAGAGCTTTGGCTGCCGTAGTAAGGAGTTTGACCTTGAATCAGTAGGTAATGGAGAGTCAACAAGGCTCTTTGAGCAGGGGATGCAATGACTGAGCTCGGATCTAGGAAGTCAGCTGGCAGAAATGCACAGGACCAAGTGGAGAAGGTAGACAGGAGGCCAGGAGATGGTCTGGTGTTATAGCAGAACTGTCCAGAAGAGCAATAACTAAGATAACGGCCAGAGAGACTGGAACACAATGAACACTGGACTGACGAGAGAGTGTGGAGCGGAGTCACTGGAGGCTGGGGGCACAGGACTGTAGGGCAAGCTGAAAGAAGGGGGAAGATTTGGCTGAGAGGGCTAGCAGGTGTCGGCAAAGAAAATGCTTATCTCCAAATCCATAGCTCTCTCCCTAGTCCTCTTTGGCTGTGCAGAACACTCAATGGCTCCCTCTGGAGCT